TATTATATATATATATATATATATATATATATATATATATATATATTCCTGGATTATGCTAATGAGTTAACAGTACTATATGACAGCACCAACAAAATAATTTACGCAAAAACAGAGTGTTCTGGTGCAGAAGTTGAAAAGCTTGATTCAACAATATCAAGTACAATACTTTACTTGCAATGCGCATGATAACTGAACTTTTATGCTAATGAGTTAACAGTACTATATGACATTGAAAAAAAAAAAAGATGAAAAAAACCAGTCTGGACCATCTGCAATAATTTCAGGGGATACAAGACAAATTGTAGCAAGTGTTCTTTTTTTTTTCTTTAGGGGATTTTTCCCCCAGAATAATTCATTGTTCATGCGTCTCTTCTCGCATTTGTCTGCGCAATGTCAAGTGGATTTATTTTTCGTTCGTTCAAACTGTACTATGCTCTAACGCTAGAAGCGTACACTTGACTTTGAACTTGGATTGCTCCGTCCGACAGTGTCCTGCTTACGGGGAGATTCCTCTCTTTTCGTGTGTACACAGTACTGTATGCCTTGCTCCTGCGAAAGAGTCGGAGCCTCTTCCTCGGGCTGGGGGGTGTGGTGTGGTGTGAAGCAGGCTAATCAGTAAATTGAATAGGTAGGTAGGTAGGTAGGTAGGTAGGTCGGTCGGTCGGTCCGCCAGCCTCCCTCCCGGGCAAATCCATCCCTGAATCGGTTAAGCTCAAGTGCACCGAGCGACAGCTGTGGACTAGGAATGCTCGATTCGATCTCAACTACAGTATCGCATGCGGTACGCAGTGAAAATCCATCCACTGTACTGTACAGCATAGTTCAGTAGAACACGCGTAAAAAATATTTCCCTTTTCCCTCGTCTCGGAATCTTCAACAAGTGGTGGTCCTCCGGGAAGTGACATCCCCGAGTCGCTCATCGGCAACTTCCCCAAGAATCGGTTCATCGTCAGCTGCTCCATCTCGCTTTCCTTTCTCGCTCAACTGCTTCCACAATACGAAGGGCATGCACTGCCCTGTACAGTATGCATGTGTAGAATGTACCGTTTTTACTCTTCAGTGAAAAAAAAAAAAATCAAGACACAGGAAGGAGACCCTTCCACACGAAAAAATGGCTCCATGATGAAATCCCGCGGCCCGAAAAGCCCGTAGGCCCAAAAATCTCGCAGGGTCCAAAAATCCCGAACGTACGAAAATTCCGATGAGTACTACAAAATTGTAACATTGTCTCTGGGTTTCTCTTCCAATTGTCCGGAAGGGATAAAAATCTGGTGGATTATGAAATTGCGTAAGTTCCAGGGTTTTAAATACAGTACTTTTAATTCCTTCCAAGGGGTTGGGAGGTTCAGGGATTACATTTCTCAATAGAACCTCAACTTCACTTCCTCATCTTTCTCAATAGAAAGGTGAGGAGGAAGCCTGGGAAAGATGTTGCCTTCATTTGGAACCTTCATCCCTGCATTTGTTTTGGATATGAACTGTGCATTTTTCCAATGATTTTCACGGCTCAACTTTGACTTCTGATGTAATAAACTTGCATCAATTCGGGTGGAAATCTTGTAGAGTTGAAAACTTGTGGACTTTTTATAAATATTCTTTATTCCCCTCATCATGTACTATACTGTATATTGAATATTAAGAATGAAAATGAAATATCACTATAGAACTCAGCATTCAGACTTCTTTGATAATTTATAATTGCTTACATATCATTGCCTTCCTTAGTTTTCAAATGAGGTTTTTCTGATACAAAAATTCGTTTTACGGGATTTTCGTACCTAAAATCCCGTCGTACCTACGGGATTTTAGGACCCTGCGAGATTTTTGGGCCTACGGGATTTTCTCCTACACCCGAAAAAATATACACCGCATACGGGAAAATGCGACGATGAGGGCAGTCTCGTCGTTCAACAACACGGCAATCCAGTTCGGAATTTCAGTGCCTTTCTGGTACCGGGAATGCCTCGACAAGCGGGCACTCGAGGTGCAACAAAAATTCGCTCTAGTCACTCGCGAACATTTGTCAGTGAACCCGCGGGCAGGTTTTCTTTAAGGTGTTTCCACGATGTGGCCCCTCACCACCGCTGACACTTGTCGTCTACCTCCTGATCTATCCACAACGATTTGCAGAGAAACGTAATCCCAGCGGTTCATACAGTGATGCACACTACCGTGCAGTACAGTACTGTACTGTATTTACTTTTCCTCAAGTCATTAACAGCCCTAGGCATCAGTAAGTAGTTTGGTCGTATGCAGATGCTGTCCAACCAGCAAGTGTCATGAAATCCCTGTGATCATCTCCAATCTGATGCAGGAGAATACAGTAGTCATGCTTCTTATTCATTCGGCAACACGCGCTGGAAACGGGGGCACAAAAAAGAAGAAAAATCCCAGAAATTCTGAAAGACTTCCAAGATGCTTCCCAAATGACAACGATACCCAAAAAAGGAAACAATTAATTTAATCGTAGTCTCCTTCAAATTACTGTAGTTGACGTCTTGACGATATGAGGCAAATACTGTAGTCCAGCTTCAGGGAGCATAGATTGCTTTTCGCTATAGACTGAGGTTAAAAATAAAAATAAAAAGGTACCGTACAGTACTTTGGTAGGCTTTATGTTTCGAGGTACTGCAGCTCCACAGTATTGAAGGGGGGCGGGGGGGGGGGGGGAAAGCAACAACGATATGCAAAACGGAGTTATAATTCCACAACCAACGTAGCCGTTCAATGCCAACTCAATTCAACTTGTGCCTCAATCTAAATTCAGCGTTCCAGTCGTCATGGTTTTGTCGTGAGATTTTTTTTTTATTCCGGGAAAAAGACATCAAAATACAGTAGGTGGACCAGTCCTTCTATTGCAAACTCTCTCTGGGTATTGTAAGAGACACGCCGGCATTCAGGCCCCCGGCCAGGACGGTCACTCTCACCAAGTGAGTTGCGTACAACGCGCATCATACACAGTACCGTACAGCACAGCACCTTGGTCTGCATCACATGAAAAAGTCTCCGCGTCACGCCGTCACTTGACTTGGGACAGGCGTGTTCATGCAAAAACATAGAGTACGTGGATAGTTGAGGCCACGTTTTACAGCTGTTTCTTTTGAGTACAGTGCCGTGTGTACAGAGCAGACTTTTTTTTTTTTTTTCTGTTCTGGTGGGGTATTTCGTCCAGTTCCCGATGCTCATTTTACAGCCCGACGGAGGAGCACATTTCGAAAATGCTTGCATTGTTCAGTACAGTACAGTACTTGAACAGCGAATGACGGAGTCCTTCAGTCCACTAGGTGCCCCTGAATTGACTAATTCGGCCTCCTTCGAGAAGAAGACTCTCTTCCCACTTGTAGAAAAGCGCGCACGATTCCTCTTTGGTTTTTGTTTCTAGTCTTCGCAATCCTTTGAATTTCTGAATCTACTGTACAGTACACGTCAACTCCTTCAGGAAGAAACTCGAAGGCTTGCAGGTGCGTGCTCGACAAGTGAAATGCAATGCTGCTCCATTAGCTACGCACGGTCATCAACTAGTACAGCACACAGTCATTTAGAATCGCATTTTGCGTCCGTCAAACATTGCGCCTGATCGTCGACAAGGTGGTTTCGGTCCGTTTCCAGCGGATATAAACGCTCTGCCATTTCCCAGCAGCGTCACCACCATGTTCAGGATCCGGACGCGGAGGACAAACGCAGACCTCAGCCGATCCTGGTACTACTGCACGGTACTGCATTCGGACAAATCCCTTCGCAGAAAGTCCACGAGAGGGGCGTTCGCTCATGGTCGCAAGAACGAGATCGACAGGAAATGTTTTCAACGGAGGGCGGCTTCCCACGGATCGACGGGAGAATTTTCTTGTCGCGGTGGGAAAGCTGTGACAGAGCGCCGGAAATCAAGACGAAAAACTTCTGTTCAAAAGGTCAACAACAGTTGCCCGGAATAACAGGTGTGGAAGAAATCCAACGAAAAGTGAGAGGGGGAAAAAATAGAGAGAGAGAGAAATTCATGATTCCGGTTGGGATAAACAATCACTTATGGTTGCGTGCCCGTCCGCCAATCGTCGTGTCCTTTGGTCAGCCACGCTTTTTATCCTGGCAGCTCTTTCAAGTAGAACCTTTTACAACTCATTATCCATTTTTACTTTCGGTTCCGGGGATAGAGAAGCCAATCGACGCAAGTGCTCACACGTCTTCCGAGACTTGAAACTTGCCGTTCTGCGTACAGTATAAGCACGTCCGTCACCACGTACTGTAAGTTAATCGCGCTCGCCTTCATCTTCCACGACTTGAGCAACTGCGGCTGGTTCACCAGCTCACCGAACACGCACGCAAATCGGCTCCCAGACACAGGTGGAGCAGGCTATGCGCTGGAACTGTATCAGGTGAGACGCAGGGGGTGTTTGAGGCGCGCAACCCCCACCCCCAGGCTCAACATGTGCACACCCGTGTGCACGTGCGGAGAGCAGGTGAGCGTGAAAAATCGTCCACACCCGAGGAATGAATGGCATCAGTAAGGTTTACGGCCAGAGGGACGACCGCGAGATTTCCGAGCAAGCACGTCTCCTCGAGTGAGCCACACGTATTCGGGGATTCATGCGCGAACTACAGTACAATACAGTACTCCCCATGCAATCACACATGTCAACTACAGCACAGCACATTATTTCATCCACTTTGTCACGGGTGAACGGTTGAAACGATGCATTACCACATCTCCAAGCAGACTAAGGATCTGTATCATGATTCTCGCGACACGAAGCCCCGTCGCAATCCACTCATTTCCGTGTTCACGACGGCTGGGAACGCGGTGAACAGAATGACGGGCGGCGGTGGATTTTCACGCACTTCCGCGGCGTGACGCTTTCATACTCATTTTGATTTTATATCGAAGGAAAATAACTGCAACCTACTGCTTCCGTCCATGACTGCACGTTCCCAGACGTCTAGGCCAAGTTTCCGCGCAAACCTGGGCAGCAGAAACCGATTCCATCCCGCGCGAGTGTTGCTGGTCAAAATAACACTTTCCCCAGTACGAAGATCTCATCGAAGTAGATGTCACGAGGACAAACGCCCGGGACGCGGTACTCGGAATACGTTTGTGTATAGCAAGAAATGCAGCATGTAATTTTTTTTTTCACTCCGGTTATATCCGGGTACTCACCTCATCACGGCCTTCGCTTTCGGCTATGACCATGAGACAGTTTTTGTCCTCGGCGAGGTTCTCCGACGACCGCTTCTCATTCTCCTCTTCACCTTCTTCCTTGAAGACCTTGACTTCATCATTGGCGCCGAGATCTCCGCCACTCACATGCGGCATCGTGGCCACTTGTCTGGGCTCCAGAGGCAAGCAGCGATGTCAAGTTACCTTCGCACTCATTCACACACACGCACACACTGACAAGGCATCCCGATCGACCGCGCACATCCGCACACGAAAGTCGGCTCACTGCACTTTTATCCCCGATGATACTCGTCTCGCTTTTCTCTCCTCCAAATCTACCATCGAGAATAACCCAACCGATGACATTAAGCAGAACGACGCACGACACAGCAGGGGCACGCACACGCTAGTCGGCGCCACAGGTTTCAGGGGGGGAGGGGGGAATGGAAACGGAGGAGCCGTCCACTCAACGCCGACGGAATGAACCCCGAGACGCCTCCCAAGGAACTGGCGCCTCCATGCAGGGCAACTCCGAGTGAGCTAGGCCGACAAGCCAGGGTTGTCGGATGCCCCGCATTAATCACACTCCATCACTCCGGGCCTTTTCCCCTCACGGCCCTAGGATTTTTTTTCATTTTTCCCCGCCGCGCCTCGCGCCCGCCACGAGCTCAGAATCCCTGCCACGGCTCGCGGATCGCGCAGCGAACGGGGAGGCCGAATCCGGCGGGAAAACTGGCGGTCGGGGCTGCGGCCTCTAACCGCGAAAACTACTGAATGTACTCTACTGTACAGTAATGCAGTGTAATCCGAAAAGTAAGAAATGGTCGCCAAAATTTCAGGTCCGACAGTACCTGCAACATTAGGCCCATTTCTGGCTACCTCTTTGTTCTTGTCCGTTTGTAAAAGCGTCCCAGAGGCTCCACAATTTGAAAAACAACTCCTGCAGCTTTATTGATGGTATTGGTTCAACATGGATGGGGATGGAATCACGGGACCTCCTGTCTGAGGATATTCAAACGTCTCCACAAGTATTACGGGGCCTTTTTCGATTTTCATGCAGTTTGCAGAAATCGCTAGTTTATTTTTATTCATTTACGTTTTCCGAACGTGCTGCGCGTCGTTTTGCGAATCCTCAACACCAATACAGTACTGTGCTGTACATACGTACTGTACAAGCATCAGGAATATTGTACGGTATTCCCTTGCTGGTGAAATGTTCCTCGAGACCAATCAAGTGTTGGTACAATACAGCACTGTACGTCACGGAAATGATTGGTCGGAGCAGGATCACCACCCCAAACCATGGTCGTCGTCTCTATATGGGCGCGTTACATACAATGCAGTACAACGCATCATCACCTTAGCTTTACACGGCAGCGAAGTGTTTTAAAACTTGCTCGGAGTGTTTCTTCATCGTCCGACGAGAGGCAAAATTTGTTATGCCTGTTCTCGTGCAAGTGGTGCAACGATTCGAAGTATGAAAGGATGTGCGCTTCGGGTACCAGTACGGTGCCGGGTATGGGGAACACACTTTCATGCGAAAAGAAAAAAGAAAAGCCGGGAGCAGCATTCCGCGAACGAAGAAAACAATGCAGTACCGTTCTTGACTGAATGAACTTAGTGCTCATCGCACCTATAAAACAGCAACAGGAAGCATCAGGTTCGGCTACATCTCCTATAGTGGCCTAGCCTAGCCTAGCCCATAAACGAAGTTCCTAATCAGGCCTAAACATTTGGGCGATCTAAGAATTCCGAGAGAGGATCGATAACATGGATGAATGATCTGGCTCTTCAACTGCAGTGCAGTACAGCCAGTACTGGACAACAGTTCAAAAGAAGTGGTACCGTACTGCGCATGCTCGGAGCATCCCGAGAGGTAAAAAGGTATCGCTTCATCTCACTTTGTCTTGAGATTACCGCACCCCAATTGATACAGTGATACGGTACATTCAAGATCAACTTGGAAACTTGATGACGGTCAGATGACGGATACCCCTGTCGTGGACCTATAGAAAGGCAATCACCTCTCCGAAATACCGTACACTCTGGAGAAACTCTCCCTTCGTCGCCTTTCTGACATACAGTATTCCATTTAAAGACTGACGGATAACCATCCCACATGAAATGAACACGTCAACATGAATTTGGTCCGTCGTTTATTCGTACCTTACACTATCAGTCCGACTGCTAACCGGATCGAGGCGTGAAAGAGAACTGCATTTCCGGTGGATTATATGAATTGATTGGTTAAGTGTCCATTTTTCGCCCCGCACTGCACATTTAAGTCCATTAGGAGATTAGGAATCATAATTATTGCGCATTCAATGTTTTTTGAAAACACGACTCACTTGACGGGAGAGCAGCACCTATACTGTACATGCACTATTGGTTTCAACTTTGCTCGAGCGACATCTAGCTTAAGCAAATGAATCGTAAAAAATAAGTTTTTACATTAAAACCAAAGAGAAGAGGAAGCGTACTTCTGCAGGGACAACGACCATTTGAACATGCGTTCACATGCAGAGCATATACAGTACGCGTATACAGTACCATGCAATGCATACTAGAAGAAGCATGAGGCACGGAACATGAAATAATTAATCATTTCAGAGATCCGAATGATGCGGTTTAAATTCAAAGCTCATCATCAGACAAAGATCACCAGAAATAACGAGGGAGTGCAGGAGAAAATCGAGCAGGAGAGAGAATCCCACAAGAATATCTGGAGTCCATCTCAGAGTTACGAAGGACCAATTGTTTTGGCTATTGCCGACGGCAGCGGTTCACTCATACAAAGATGGTACAAGTCAATGAAAGCCTGAAATTCCATCAAATTTCAACCTGAGATGATTTACCGGATGAATTTGTCCTTGAGCCAATCAGCGCTAAGGTCAATGCATATATGGATGCGCATCAGCAGGCCGCCCTTCGAGGATCTCCGTTAAGTTTCGCGCTGGACGGTAATGGGGCAGAAGTCTACGCATCATGAAGTGATGTGAGTTATAATTTCTTCTCGAATGTTATTGTTGATGGAGTTCCAGTGCCGGAGAACCGGCAAGAGTTCTTTGTTGCTCATTTCGAACCTTCTGAGGAAATTTATCATTACCTGTTGCATGTTTCAGCTCGTGAATCTTCCATTCAGGTTTTCCAAAATTGACGAGGTGCTGAAGAAGTGACATTATTATTGCATGTTTAATAAGTGAAAAAAAAGGGTGTGGCGTGAACATGAGAAATTGTAGCAAGCAACTACTGTAGTTCATCTCTTCCAACTTCTTTCTGCCAATGAGCTTCTGGATTCTGATCCGATGGATTCTGATTATGTCCAGACTTGAGATTTAGCTGCATCTTTCTACTGCTAATGCCATGAGTACTGTCAAAGTGTGTAAGATATATTCTCTTGGTACATTGGTAAAAATCACAGCAGAGAGGTGTACAGGAAGCGAGGCTATCGATCACAGCTCATCTGTATGCAGTATAAGGATTAGAAAAACGAGCGAGTCTTCGTTTTCCGAAGAAGAAGAAGAAAAAAAGAGTGCAATATTTATGTTGAATAACGCATGGAATTTTGGCGCGTACAGTAAGAATAATAATAACGCAACGGCCATCACGAACTAGCTGGATCAGGTTGTGGCCGAGCCAAAAGTGATTTGACTGCGCTCCAGAAGATGACCCGTACAGAAGGCGTGGATCGACAGGCGGAGCAGAGGGAGGCGGGCCAGCAGCTGAACGCGATGTAAGTGGTGGTAGTGATGGTAGTACCGTGGTAGTACTGTAGTAGTAGTAGTAGTAGTAGTAGTAGTGGTGTTGATGGCCTTGGCAGCCAGGAGCACGTGGATGCTGGACACGACAGAGGTGCTGTATAGAAGGTGACGAAGAGTATGGGCCAGGTCAATGAGCTCGTTGCCGAAGCCGACAGTATAGCACAAATCCCGTTCCTCAATCGCCTCAATTGGGGGAAAGAAGGCCTATTAAAGGCGACGAGACCACCCTGGCATTTATTGCTGCAGATGAGTCGTCATGGGAAAAGTATCAACAGTTGCTGTGATGCTCTGCTGATGCTGATGCCCAACAGATTCTGCTCCTCTAGGGAGACAGACTCGTATCGAACTTTTTTCAGCTTAGATTTCACTGTAAAAAAAATTGTTTGTGATGCAGTATTTTCAACACTTGTTAGGATGCATGTCTTCTTGCGACTATTTTTTCTTCTCGCCTTTTATCGAGCGAAACGAAGGTGGTTATTGTGTTTTAGAGAATAAGTCATTGATGATGATATTGTTGCTATAAATTTATGTTGCACACAATTGAAAGGGAACATGATTTTCCCATTCATGATTCAGATAATGTGGGGCCTTAGTGAATACCTTCTTGTCCTCTACAATGAATGAACATTTGGCCCCACACTTTCATCATACCCCTGTATCAGGACATTTTTGGAAGAGTTTTTTCCCCATTTTTAGTTCATAAAAGTCTATACAGTATAGATGCTTCTAAACATTCTTTTTTTCTTTTCCACAGGACTGCATGTGCAGGTACACTGTTTCATCTGATAACGTCAATTACCGTATACTGTATCTTCCAATAGATGCCCCCGGCATCTATTAAAAAACTGCCCCTACCTACCCGGCATTTATAGGAGACTGGCCTTTATTTACAATTTCCAACAAATAGACGGACATTAAAAATCATCAAAACAGATGAAACCGGCGGCAGAATGAGTCATTTCTTTTCAGGAAACTGTAAATTTCATTGAAATTCTTCATAGGAAATTCAATAAAAGTTTGAATTGCTGGGTTTACCGCCAATTTTTCAATGCCCCTAGACAGTGGTACATTTCAAAACTATGTGTTTCTTTTATATTTGGTTTGTGAAGAAAATCTTAGAACTTGTTTGATGACTGCAGTAGAATGAGCAGCAAAAGAGGAGTTGTAGGAATTTATTCAGCTAAAGATGATTTTATAAGAAAAACAGTTAATTCAAATGTTATTTTACAAAACTGAAAACTGAGAATGCTATAAATGTGTATGAATTGTTCAAATACTGTATCTTGAAGTTGCCATCAGAGTATTACCTGTTTGTAAGTATACAAATAAATTTGTTACAGTGATTCTGCTCAACAAAACTTTTGCCCAAAAATTCCAGAAAACCTGTGGATAAATAGGGTTTAGCCAGGATAACTTTGTTGCACCTGGCTTGATCTCAGGGTTATTCTGCTGGCCTGTATAAAAAGGGCTGCGCATTATGCACGGTAAATCAGTCTTATTTGTCAGGCCAGTAACTGACAAAGGGTTGAATGAAAGGTTGAGAAATAGCTCAGCCATGGATTTTGGGCCTCAGAGTGGGAGCCATACACAA